CCCATTGAAGCAAGATTCTTTGCACTCTAAGTGGGACCACTTTAAAAGGAATACTGTGCGCTTTTATGAAACAAACATAAATGATGACAATTGTAAGCAGTTATTTTCGTTGGCAAAATCATTGACAAATAAAGGTAAAATTCTTATAATACGTACGTATGCTAAAGACTCATCTAATGCAAATTTTTGTTAGATTCCCAGGATTACTTACTCTTACACATCGGTATCAGTGATCGGACTTCTACCACATTGTGGTAGATCTGCCAGTTTTTTGAGCACCTACCACATCTAACACACAAGGTCTGAAATCTACCACATATTCGTGTTTTCGAGTAGTTTTAGTTTTGCTCGACAATTGTCCAACACTAAACACTAAAAACAGGCAGAATGGGAGGATAAAATAAACTGTAAAATAGTAATTTTTCAATATTCAATTTTTGGACAGGAAACGTGGTTTTATTGTTTTAAATTGCAAAATATGTGATTTATAAAAAGAATTGATAGCGAAAATGTAAAAAAACGGTGATTTTTGTGAAAGTATTAGCAAATTTCATTGCATATAAAGTTTCTAAAGCGTTGTTTATGAGAATTATCAAAATCGGCAAATCCCAAGTAGCGGTTTCTGGAACGTGCCATATTTGTTCGCTACATCGTGATATTATAACAAGTAATTTTTAGCAAAAAAAAAACCGACTTCAACTCCCATATAAAAAAATATATATACAGTATATTTTGCTTAGCTGCACATCCTTCTTTGCACGAAAAACTTGTGCACTTAACCGAAAAAAGGCACTTAAGCGAATTTTCTTTACTACTTCAATGAGGAAGGTATCCAAATCCCTATGAAACCAAATAATAGTGAAGCACTTACCACGTAGAAATTACTGCAAGCGAAATTTTTACCGAATAGTATCTAATTATCTATACAACTACATAAATGTATAGCCATTTTCGTTGTTCTGCGAGATGAACAAAATAAATAACAAGTTGTAAAATTAGGTAATTGTAGGGCCAGTGCAGGTAAACGTAATACTTTCTTTGATAATTGATACTAGTCGCAGAATTTTTTAGGCAGGTATCGCCAATGTGCGGGTATGCTAAATGCATCTATCGGAGCAGTTTCCTTATAGATGTTAAAAAAAATGCGCCTGATACGCATTTTGGGGTAGGTATCTTAAATGTGCACTTAAGCTAGAGGCAGCAAAGCAAAATATACTGTATATATATATCTCATGATCCACTGATCGGATCTGAACCAGATTAGTATGGGACCACCTCTGAGACACTACCTTTCCGATGCTAAAAAAAATTATCGAAATCGGTTGACGTGGTCCAAAGTTATGCGGTAACATACATAAAAAAAAAAAAAAAACAAAAAAAAATATTCCGACGAACTGATAACCTCCTCCTTTTTTGGAAGTCGGTTAAAAAGAAAAGCTGATTGCACTCCGCAAGGTTGCAGAAATCTTTCAAAACTCAACGCAATTCTATTTTGCACTTTATTATACTAAAATAAAATAATAAAATTTAGATTCTAATTAAAATGTTTGCAATTTGGGTAAAACCGTGCAGAATTTTTTTAATTTTTGTAAAAAGTTTGATCGAAAACCTGAGATATACCACATTTTTTTGAAATCTACCACATTTTTTTCCAGATTCTACCACACTAATTTTTTTTGAAGTCCGATCACTGATCGGTATTACAAACATCTTCAAGGTTTACAAATAATTTGGGAAAACGCTCTAAAAAATTACAATCATTGACGCACATGAAAGTTTTATTTTGCGTATTGAGTCCATACGCATACCTTTCCTAATTGTAGTTGGATCTGTTAATGATCTAAACAGCTTTTTCATATACATGAAAATTAATTCAAGCGTGCGTTATATGGAGGAAAACAAATCACAAAAATCAAATCAAATCAAATTGAATGGGCTGAAAACTGCGTACTAAAAATTCCGTTAAAAAATGTATAATTTTGAAGAAAATTTTTTGAATTGTTCTAAATTTTGATTTTTGTTATAGTATGAACAATTTTTTTAATAAGAAATTTAAAAAAAAATACGTGTTTTTTAAATTAAAATAAAAGAAAATTAAAAAAATATATAAATAACTTATTTTTATACTTGTGGAAATTATAAGCTTAGGGTTTTTAAATGTTAAATAAAGAGTGCTACATATTTAAACCAACATTGAAGGCGTGTTTGAAGCAACCTTGAAAAAAAGTGAAACCACCTACTTTTCAATGTTAAATTAACAACTCTATATTCTTAGGTCAACATTGGGAGTATTTAAATTGACAATAATCATTGTTAAAACAAAAACAAAGTCAGGTTTAAATCACTTTATTTTCGAAGTTGAATGAAAGATACGCATTTTTAAATCTACATTAATGCAATTTGAATTGAAAAGAAACAATCTTAAAATATCAACACTATTTTTCCACGTAAGAATTACATTTCCATAGTTGATTTGATATACTTCAGCTTTGGTAGACTATCATAGCTGTTTATTGTAGAATCAACCTCGTTATTGTAGCTTTTACCTTTGTTTTTTTTCCTCAGTGTAGGAATAATTTTGGACATGTAGCCCCTTAGTTAAGTACGCTTTTTAGCACTTGAAAAAATGGATGTATTAACAGTGTTTGCAATTTCATGTAGACCAAAGGGAAGGTGTGCAGCAAAGTGAGTTTTTGGACTCGCCATGGCAAAGAGCCATGCAGAGTGCATATTTGTGGACGGTAGCCAACCACCATGAACTCCACAGCAGTTGACTCCACAGCTTTTATTTGATGACTTTTGTACCATTTCCGAGAGGATGCATGAGTATGGCTTCTTTGGAAACAAATATTCTATGTAAGTAAAACATAATAAGCTGAACTTTTAAATGTATAATAATTTGGGCACTGTTTTGTATTAGGTACGTAACAGCGTGGTAAGATGCCGCTTGAATTAGCGCCTGGCAACCTTATCCACTGGTGCATTACCTCATACCAGCACTAAAAAGAATCAGGTACTAACAAAAATAAGTAGGTAGTGTAGTTCATGTATCTATTTAGGGCCGTTTGCACCATGTCTAGTTAACGCTAACTGGAGGTACATCCTTCAGTTAAGCACGTTAACTGCTTTATCGATCACATGTTATATGATGGGTGTCGATAACGTCGATAAAGATGTTTAACTGGGAGTTAGAATTAACTAGACATGGTGCAAACGGCCCTTACTGTAGAAACTGCTTTTGTATGTATGCCATTGCCAGCAAACTAAACCAGCAACTGTCTACATTCACCATGGAAATATACCTACTACAATTCACCAAGGAAAGGCCAACATAGTTCCATGTAGAAGCTCATAGCTCACACACATAGCACAAAGCTCGATTTGGTGTTTAATGCATCTCCTCGCCGGCAGAACTGCTTCCACTTTTCCACGAAAAAAAACTTATATCGCACGCTTTCCTTTTGTTTTCACTATTACACTTTGCCAATGCATACTTCATTTTGCTTTGTAATGTCTCAATAATTGTTTAAAAGCACGCAGAAATATTAACGCATAAATATTAAAATTGTTATTTGGTTTTTTCGTGTGCTCACAATCAATAATTGCACCAAGATGACGTCACGCACACAGCTGATTCTGTCAAAATCACAAAGAGCGGATTAGCGGTACCGCGATTGGCGCAATCTCTATTTCTCTCAATCGTGTATACAATATAGGAAAAAGTTTTCTAATAGCGGTCACCCCTCGTCAGGCTATGGCAAACCTCCGAGCGTATTCAGCTATGGAAAACAACGTCTCCTAAATATACATTCACCGATACATACATATATATCGTCGTTCAAAGTACAAAACCGCATTATTCTCTAGAAAATAATGTATGCTAACTCACATACGCGGTTTTGCATTATCTTGATACGCAGTATGATATGTACGTGGAATCTAAGGTTTATATTTTCCAAAAAAAAAAAATCTAAGAGGCTGCTCGATAATACGATTCGAAAGAGAAATACGATGCAATAGGCAATTATGCCCGTATGATACGATGTTTTTTTCCTGTATTTTTCATTTGAAATATAAACAAAAAAACTGACGAAAGTCAAATTACAAAAACAATTCGGCAATGCGTTAGAGAGGAACAAATTCTGTGTGAAAAACAGCTGAGTTTTGACATATCCTTAACGAAATTCAAATAAACGAAATTAAAATTTGCGTACAACAGTTTTGTTACATTAAAAAATTAAATTAAAGTGGCAAGACAATAACGTATTTAATTTAATTGCATTTCCATTTTGTTTATGCTAAGGAAATAACTCCTCTGGCAATATTCAGACAACTGTGTAAGAAAAACAACCATCTATCAAAAAAACCTAACGAAATACAAGTTGGCCGGACTGTTTTTAACAACCTAGTTTGTTTTTCGTCAGTTGTTCTTTTTTTTGTACAAGTACTGAATTCGTATATAACTTTCTCTTTCTTTCAAAATACAGTGTAAAATACACTCGAAATACAAGAAAAAACGTAGTATCATACGGGCATTACCACTGTTTGACATAAGTGTTCAAATAAAACTGACACAGGCTAAACTTTTTTTTGTGACACGCCTTACTGTATAATAAGGGAGTATCGCTTTACGCAGCATTTCAAAAATATACATCGCAAAATTCTAAAAAATAATAAAAACAAGTAAGAAAGTCTAAGTTCGGGCGGAGTCGAACATTAAATACCCGGCGCAGGTACCGCTACATGGTAAGCCGGTGTGTATCAGTTTTGAGTAAATTAGCGTCCTTAAATTTCGAAATATTGAAGTTTCAAGCATTTCTGAAATTCGCCGTTATATGAAAAGTGGTCGTAATTTGAATCTGATTCCAATAATTTTCAACGTTTTGCTTCTATGTGGCAAGCACAATAATCATACCGAGTTTGGTACAAATTGGTAGAACGGTTACCGAGATACATATATGTGATCATAAGTGGGCGGTGCTAC